TCTAGAACCCCTTTTTCTGCATATTTCCATTTTTCGGTTATTTTGTTTCCATTTCAAAAGATATGGATCCTATAAATCGAAATACACACTATGAGGAAGGTTTCTATAACACTCCTCAAGCCACCCGACGCAGAGAGAAGCAGTACTTACGCAATCTCTACGAAGAAATTCGAACTGAAGACTACAGAACGTTCCAGAACAAGCCATACATACCTCCAATGGCAAACCCTAGATATCCTATGTATCGCCTACCTCACCAGATTCTCCACCGAGATGAGAACGTCCAGCTCAGCAACCGATTGAGTCAGCTCGAAGGCGTGATCAAGAAATTCATAGAAGCTCAAGCAACTGCTACAGCCGCTCTAAACGAAAGGATTGACGGGATATCGAAACTTTTCAATGAGAAGATCGATGACCTAGCCTCACAAGTCAATTCAATAAAAGAACGAGCAACCAAGGACGCAGCTATGATCGCTAACAGGTTCGACAACATGGAGGAAGAGCAAGCAAAGCACACCTATGAGCTCCGCAACACCAAAAACAAAGTCATGGACCTGGATTTCAAACTTGATGATGTGCACAAAGCCCTAAACGAAGCAAAGAACGAGTCTTATGACTTTACAGTCGAAGTTTCAGAGAAGGTTTACAAAGTCATTGACAAAACCGAAGAGCTTGACTCAACCATGGACAAAGTTGTCTATGCTCTTGATGAAGTTGAAGAAAAGGTTGAGAGATCATACAAGGACTTGGAGAGCAGATTACAGCAATCAAAACTAAAGGCTCAACCCCAGAGAGGAAGTACATCAAGCCAGAAGACCCAGGAGATCATTGAGGAAGCAAAGGAGCAAGGAACAGCAGCAAATCAACCTGGAGACACTTCCCCGCAGTCGCATCGCTTTCGACCGCGGCCAAGAAGCCTTCTCCCGCGGTCGTGTTAGGTCTACCCGCGGCCCATGGTCGTTTTCCCGCGGTCGCGTCACCTGCAGTCAAGGCCAACCGGAAAAACGTTCCAAAACAGTCCCGTTCAGCTCATACAAGCAACAGTGCGTCTGATACACCTCCTGCGATGACTAAACCACTCCATCAACAACTGATTTGCTCCATCAGCACCCAAAGATCTGAAGACGAGGACAAGTCATGGCCCTGCAACATGGCCTTGTCTTGTGAAGATGAGTATGAAGAGCAACACTTTGAAGATGAAGAGTATGGGTTGTTTGTAAAAGATCCAAACGCAGGATATACCTCAGAGGACAGTTCAGGAGAAATTCAATGGATCACAAACAACATCAGTAGAGAGAAGCTAATGGAGTTCAACAACGTAGTCAGGTCATTCCTGCTCACCTAAGCTTTGATGAAATCTGGAAGCTTGGTCGTTTGCAAGTCTTTTTCAGGTACTGCAAGGAGTCTAAAGAGGATATCCATAGATATTTTACGCGAGCTCGATACATGACAACACCAGAAGAAGCTGTCTATGCGATTCACCTCAAAAAGCCTGAAGACTGCAGCCACTACACCAACAAAATCAGCAAAGAAAAGCTCGACGAATTCAATGATGTGGTTGGAAATTTGCCTGAAGGAATCACCTTTGCCAGAGCTTGCAAGGATTTCATGATAGGCCACTACTTCTGTGAGAGCAAGGAATCAATCCCTGAGATAGAAGACTTGTTCAACCATGCAAGAAGAGGTAAACATGTTCGAACACTTCACAAAATCGAAGGTGTAGGTCAGTTTCTTATCTCTTGTTCTATTAGAGGAGAAATGTTAAAAAACGTGCTTTGTGATTCTGGAGCTTGTCTTAACATGATGTCTGAGGGAATTGCTTTGAGACTTGGTATTAAACACCTGCGCAGGACTAGAGCAAAGATTAGTCTAGCTGATGATTCCAATGCAACACCTCAAGGAATAGCTCATGAAATTCCTTTGAGAATAGAAGTTTGCATAGTGCCTGCCGACTTCTATATTGTCGAGACGAGAGACGCAACATATCCAGTGATTCTCGGATGGTCTTTTCTAGCAACTTCTGGAGCTATAATGGACTGGCCAAACCGGAGGATTTCATTTGCTAATATCGACAAAGATGTCTTCACAGAAGCTGTCCCATACAACAGCAAAGCAGGAAAACGTTTTCCAACAGAAGAATTTGAAGAAGAGCTTTGGAGTGACGAAGAACCTGCTAGGCAAAGCAAGGAGATGTCGAAAAAGACTTGTCTCAGGACAAGGTCTTCTTCATTGGACTAAGCAACGTCCAACACCAAAAGTCGAGCTAAACGAATTAAAACAGAAACGCTTAATGGGAGGCAACCCATTTAGGTATTGTTTTCTTTAGGATTTTTCTTTCTTTTTCTATTGATCTTTTTGTTTTTCTTAGTTTCAGGTGTTTCTTATAAAACAAAAAAAAAAAAAATCAAAAAAAAAATCAAAAAACAAAAAAAAACCAAAAAGAAGGATGGTCCCTGACTGCTCGGCCCAGCAGGAACTAAGGAGAAGCAGGAACGGGCCGCGATATAAGCCCCCGCGGTCGCATGTGTTCTGACCGCGGGAAACACATGTTCGACCGCGGCCGCATCTTACTGACCACGGCCGAGCACCGGTTTGCCACGGTCGCGTGGCTCCTGACCGCGGCAAATGGTCCTAGAGATCAAACCCGACCCCAAGCCACCCACTTCACCTCATTCCACCTCACCAATCCCCACTCCACCTCATTCATCACTGTCATGATCATAGACAACTATCTCTCGCAACCCTGACCAGTAGGTTTCCACTCTGGCCCTGCATAACCTTAGAACCAGAATTAGTAAACGATTTCTAAGACGAAAAACGGGTTTTGGATAGGTTGTGCGATTTCTATATATGTATTTTAAAAAGGGATTTGAAAAGGTTTAGAAAAGAGTTTTAAAAAGGGTTTTAAAAAGGGTTTTGAAAAGGGTTTTGAAAACTAGAAGTGAATAAATCGATAATAAATCTAAAGGATGAACAGAGCTCTTAATATTGATTCTAGTAAGTTCTTAGAACTCGAGTCACGGACGTATGAATCCGCCACTGTCATGATCATTGACAACTATCTCTCGCAACCCTGACCATTAGGTTTCCACTCTGGCCCTGGAAGGGAAAAGATGCATTATGTTTAAGACTCGTCAACATTCACAGCTCGCCCATAGGTAGGTTTCCACTCCTATAGAATAATTTCTCGTTTCACCCTAGTTCAGACAATCAATGAAAACTTTCGCAACATATCATAGCAGATCGGCTTCTAAGTGGCCAGCAAAGAATCACGCAATAAGATTAAAGGCAAACGAAGAACATCTAGAAGATTATAAATCCTAAATCTATCGATTCATAAGCAAAGACACATGAAATTCCCTTTGAACAATCCCTTTAAACCCAACAGGGTAACTACTCAAACATATTGTAACAAAGCATCATAAACGAAATTGAGAGTGCAGGAAACTAAAGAAAAGAAGGAAGAAAAACAAAGAACAGAGTTGCAGGTGGAGGCGCGATGATGCTCTCCAGCGGCGGCTCCTTCTTCCGGATCGACAGCGGCGGCCTCTAGGGTTCCACACAAACTCTCTCTCTCTCTCTAGTATGTGTTTCTATTCGTCTCCCCTTCTTTATAATGACCTAAAGAGGGTATTTATAGCTTCTGGCGGTGTCCTGGACACTTAGGGCTTCAAAAATAATGAAAAGAATTGATCTGGACTATAATTAAGTCGTCTGGAAAGTGAACGACCAAATTCTGCGGTCGCAGTGGCTCTACCCGCGGGAAAATGGGTGTTGGCCGCGGTCCCGGCACATGGCTATCTTCCGGAACTGCATTTTCTGTCATTCTTGCATCGGGAATATCTGAAGATCTAACCGTTGGTTTGTCTCCAAACCAAGTGCATTAGAAAGCTTGTTGGATCCTCTATGTTGTCTTAAATTTTGGGCGTGATCAGACGGTGAGAAGGTCTTCATCGCTTATCATACTTCTGACGGCCTGCATTTATCCAAAATTGCTCATTTGTTCCAAATTGCATATCTTTTGCCCAAGTTTCCTGTAAAGTCTTTTGAAACTCTAAAACATTGAAAAAACTTTAAAAACCATTGAAAACAGAGTTAAAACACCTGCATAAGATATAATTATGATCCATAAAAGTGGTCAAAATACGGTGTTATCACAGCTTTCTAGTCCTGCTTCTTCTTTGTTGGGTTGATGAGTTAGACGGAATTATTGAGGAAGTCTATGAAGATCTGCTTCTAGACAACCCTTTAAGTGTCATGCTTTCACCCGCAAAATATGAACGCAATTTCCTTGAAGAAATTTTGAGTTGAGTGCGCACGTATGCTTGATAAATCCGAAACTTATAGAAAACCTCTGAACTATCTAGATCTTAAGGACCAAACAAAAATTTCTTCACCTCCTAAAGATACTGCTGCAGCAATTAATGATCCTTGGAGCGAGCTTAAACCCCTCAAGTCGAGCTTAAACCTCTTCCCGTTGGACTTAAGTACGCCTTCCCTGGACCAAATTCTACTTATCCTGTCAAAATAAACTCTGGTTTGACGGAAGAAGTAACCACAATGCTGTTGACTGAGCTGAGAAAGCATTGAAAAGCCTTAGGATATTCGCTTGATGACATACCTGGAATCTCTCCAGATCTTTGTTTGCACAAGATTAATCTAGAGGATAATGCTAAAAACTCAATCGAAAGTCAAAGGAGACTGAACCCTAATCTCATGGATGTTATCAAGAAGGAGATTATGAAGCTTTTAGAAGCTGGAATAATCTTTCCTATCTCACATAGCACTTAGGTTAGCCCAGTTCATGTTGTTCCAATGAAAGGAGGAGTCACTGTCATTAAAAATGATAAAGATAAAATGATCGCAACAAGAACAATAACTGGACATCGTATGTTCATCGATTACCGGAAACTGAATGCAGCAACTTGGAAATATCATTTTCCACTTCCCTTCATAGATCAAATGCTAGAAAGATTAGCTAATCACCCCTACTATTGCTTCCTTGATGGATACTCCGGATTTTTCCAAATTCCTATTCGTCCGAAGGATCAAGAAAAAACGACATTCACTTGTTCATATGGCACGTTCGCTTACAGACGTATGCCTTTTGGATTGTGTAATGCACCTGCTACCTTCCAGCGGTGCATGATGTCGATCTTCACAGATTTTATTGAGGATTTCATGGAAGTGTTCATGGATGATTTCTCCATCTATGGATCTTCTTTTGAAAAATGCCTAGGCAATCTTGGTAAAGTTCTGCAAAGATATGAAGATAAGCACTTAGTATTAAATTGGGAAAAATGTCACTTCATGGTACGAGACGGAATCGTGCTTGGACACAGAATTTCCGGAAAAGGTATTGAAGTTGACAAGGCTAAAATCGAAGTCATGACAAGCCTACAACCACCCACAAACGTAAAAGGAATTCATAGTTTCTTAGGACACGCAGAATTCTATAAGCGATTCATTAAAGATTTTTCTCAAATAGCTAGACCTCTTACGCGTTTGCTTTGCAAGGAAATGAACTTCGAGTTCGATGATGAGTGCTTAGCCGCGTTTCATAAGATCAAAGAAGCCCTTGTTTCCGCTCCAGTCGTGCAAGCACCTGATTGGGAACTCCCATTCGAAATCATGTGCGATGCAAGTGACTATGCAGTCGGAGCAGTGCTTGGCCAAAGAAACGATAAGAAACTGCACGTAATCTACTATGCAGGCAGAACTCTTGACGAAGCTCAATGCAATTATGATACAACAGAGAAAGACCTTCTAGCTGTCGTTTTTGCATTTGAGAAATTCCGTTCTTATCTCGTAGGATCTAAGGTCGTAGTTCATACTGATCATGCTGCAATCAAGTATTTAATGTCTAAGAAAGACGCTAAACCTCGGTTGATAAGATGGATCCTCCTACTGCAAGAATTCGATATCGAAATTCGAGATCGGAAAGGAGCAGATAATGGAGTTGCAGACCATCTTTCACGAATTCAAGTTGAAGAAAGATTGCCTTTAAATGACAGTTTGCATGAAGAAAACATCTATGCAATATATATTACCCTCAATGCCAATACCACACCACCACGTCCACTAATGCGACGAGCAGATGCTTTCAACACCCCATGGTTTAGACACATAGCGGATTACCTAGCAGCTGATGTAGAACCACCACAATTCTTTGGTTATAGGAAGAAAAAGTTTCTGAAAGACGTAAGACATTATTTTTGGGATGAACCCTATCTCTATAAGAGATGTGCTGATGGGTTATTCCGAAGATGCGTGGCTGAAGAAGAGATGGAAGGAATTTTATTCGGATGCCATAGCTCGTCTTACGCAGGACACTTCGCAACTTTCAAAACTGCTTCAAAAATCTTACAAGCAGGTTTCTGGTGGCCTACTTTGTTCAAAGATACCCAAACTTATATATCGCGATGCGATAAATGCCAAAGGATGGGTAACATAAGCAAAAGGAATGAGATGCCTCAAAATTTTATTCTCGAAGTCGAAATTTTCGATGTCTGGGGAATAGATTTTATGGGACCCTTTCCTACTTCTTTTGGAAACCAATAAATCTTAGTAGCAGTAGACTACATCTCTAAGTGGGTTGAAGCAGTCGCTAGTCCCACCAGTGATGTAAAAGTCATCATGAAGCTGTTTAAATCGGTAATATTCCCGCGTTTTGGAGTTCCTAGAATTGTGATAAGCGACGGAGGATCACACTTCATCAAACAGAGTTTTCGAAAATCTTCTTAGAAAGAATGGAGTCACACATAAAGTTGCTTCTCCATACAATCCCCAAACCAGCGGTCAAGTAGAAATCTCAAACAGAGAAATCAAGTCGATTTTTCAGAAAACAACTGCAGTTCATCGCAAGGATTGGTCTACAAAGCTTGACGACGCATTATGAGCATATCGAACAGCATTCAAGACACCATTAGGAACAACACCATTAAACCTAGTTTACGGAAAAGCATGTCACCTTCCAGTAGAACTAGAATATAAGGCGCAATGGGCTATCAAGGAGATGAACATGAACCTGAAAACAGCTGGAGAAAGAAGACTACTTCAACTTCACGAGTTAGAATAAATCCGACACAATGCTTACGAAAACTCGAAGATCTACAAGGAGAAGACTAAAGCATATCATGATAAGAAGATTATTCATAGAACTTTTGCTCCTAACGATAAAGTTCTTCTTTTCAATTCTCGTTTTAAGCTTTTTCCAGGAAAATTACGTTCAAGACGGTCAGGACCCTTCACGATAAAGGAAGTCAAGCCATACGGAGCCATTGTCCTGTGGGACAGAACCGGAAACTCATTTACAGTGAATGGACAGCGTGTAAAGCCATATCTGGCTGAAGAAACCGAAGACGAAAGAGAAGTGATGTTTTTGATTAATCCATCATCGGCCAATGATGAGACCAAAGAGTGTCACGACCCCGGTTAAGTCTAATTGAGCAACAATGTCAAGCTAACGACTTGAAACAAGCGCTTAGTGGGAGGCAACCCACTTGGTATTTTATCTATTTCCCTTTGACCTTTATTTTCTATTTCCATTGCTTTGTTTCTGTTTCATTAAATTTCAGGTTTTCAATAAGGAAGAACAAACAAAAAAAGACGAGCAGCACTCTCCAGCACGATAAGTTCACTTAAACATTTCAAATTTTCTATTTTCTTTACCATTCTTTCCAAGATTATCACACTGAGAGTGTTGGAGACTGTAAATACAATTCATTTAGGTCGTTTTTAAGAGGATAAGAAGTGAGACGAAATACTTTACAGAAATTTTACTTTAAGCTTTGTTTTTAGATTTTAGGGAGAGAGATCTGTCTCTTGAACCTTTGTTCTTTCTTTTCAATTTCGATTTCTATTCTACCTTTTAATACTATGTTTTTGATTTCGTTTATCATGTCTGAGTAGTTTTATTGTTGGGTCTAAGAGATTTTCGATGGGGTTATATATGTTCGGTGAGAATTCCATTGGCTTTTCAGCCGAATCTTAGAACTTTTTCTTCTGAATTCGTTTTTACTGCATGAGAGTAGCGTCATGAACTACAATCTGATCCAGATGCTTGGTGACGCGAAAGTGTTCATCCGGTGTCAGATCTAGTTTGGGAGAGCATAACAAACATAGGAGTGGAAACCTACCTATGGGCGATTTGTGAATGCTGACGAGTCTTAAACATAATGCATCTATTCTTTTCCAGGGTTGAGAGAGATAGTTGTCTATGATCACGACAGTGGCGTATTCATACGTCTCCAGTTCGAAAAGTTTAAGCTAAGATCTTATCAAATTTACTCTCTAGCAATGTTTTAAATCGTTCATATCCCTGAGAAAACTTCCCTGAACCCCAACGCCTCTTTTCTTATAGATTTACACCAATTTTCATTCAAGCTTTAGTCTAGTATCTTTACTCTTTTAATCGATTTTCATTTAAGCAATTAGGTTAGCCGCTTTTCTCGTTTTTACCCGTTTTCGTTAAGTTTAGTTATTAGGTCATTTTAATTACCGTATATTCTCTTTAGGATTCGTTTCTACGTTTTAAACACACCACCAAAACCCTCACAAAACTCGCCTGGTTCTAGACTTCCTTTCGAAGGCTTTTGCAGGAAAGATCCTCCTTCCCTGTGGATTCGATCCCTAATTACTACAATCGATCAGCTGTGCACTTGCGGCTATTGATTTCATTTAGGGTAAAACTTGACACCCTCGACAAACACCACATCAAGTTTTTACTAGAGCAAAGATTAGTTTAGCTGATAACACCGGATTTTGACCATTTTTATGGATCACTTTAATGTCTTTTACAGGTGGTTTTACTCTATTTTCAAAGGTTTTCAAAGGATTTCTATGTTTTCGGATTTTAAAAGACTTTTCAGGTAATTTGGGATAAAGAGGCACAAATTGGAACAAAAAGACTCTTTTGGATAAATGCAGACCCTCAGAACTCTCATGGAGACACGAAGACCTTCTCACCGTCTGATCACCCTCAAAATTGGACAACTTATAGAAGAATCAACCAGCTTTCAAATGCACATGGTTTGGAGACATTCCAACGGTTGGATCTCAAGATATTCCATTAGCCCCAGAGCCACTCAAAGACGGCCAGCAAGTCACGCGACCGCGGCCAACAGCCCATTCCCCGCGGTCACAAGCCTTCCGACCGCAGCCATCCACCTATTTCCTGCGGTCACGTCATTCCCGACCGCGGCCGGCTAACTCCGAACTAAAGCCCATATTTCTGAAGCCCAAAGTCATTCTCAGCCTCAATTCTGAAACCCTAGAGACCATGGAGTATTGAAGACTATAAATACTTGTCATTTAGGTCGTTTTTCCTTTAGCCGTTTTTTTTAATGCGATTTTTGTAGAAGATTGTTCTTAAATAGAGAAGCTTTCTTCATCTCTTTTCTTTACTGTTTTTGATTACTTTTATTAAAACCAATGATGATTTCGACTTCCCGTTGAAACCTACTGGTCAGGGTTGCGAGAAACAGTTGGTTATGATCACAACAGTGACGTAGTCATACCGCCGTACTCTAGCTCTATAACCCTATATATCGATATCCGTCAATCCCTATCTATCTACCTTAGTGTTAAAACCGATTATGATCCCTGTAGAGTTCCCAAAAGCTCAGCGTTTTTAGCCATAGTTTACAAACCAATCGATTTTTACTTGCCTATTTAGATCTGCATTTCAATTGCTTTAGTTCGATATTTTGCTTGCTTTGCTTCCTTTTCATTCGATTATTCTACTTGTTCCTTAGGATAGATTTATTTGCTTTAGTTCGATATTTTTCCCTCATGCAGTTGACACGCATCAAGTTTTTGGCGCCGTTGCCGGGGATCTGTTTCGCTGCCTTTTGCTATTTTTCTTGTTTTAACTTCTGTTCTAGACACCTGATCTCTAGTTATTTCTTAAAGTTTTGCTGAATTATCTTTCCCTTCTTTTTTTTTTCTCTGAATTGCATGAATACCAGGCGCAGACCTGTAGAAAAATTCCACTTCTAGACGAGATAGACAGACACGAAAGAGAACTTCGAAGACTTAGACGAACGCAAGGAATGGCCAACGATGACTAGCCTGGAGATCCTGTTAACCAAGCTTTAAATATGGACCAATACGGGTCCGAACATGGAGAAAATGAAGAGAATGATCACAGAGGAGGTGATCATGCTCGGCGAGATGAAGAGGAGGATGAGGTTCCTCCGAGAAACCACCAGAATCGCGAGAGAGAAAAACGGGAAGACCTTGATGCACCCATCAATGCAGCCGATGGTGACCACCAAGGAATGCAGCCGAATGGCCGCGCTAACCGCCCTGTGCAGCCAGCAAATCAACACCGAAGACAAGCCAGGAACCATCGCATAGCTTATTTTGATGCACCTACTCAAAATTTTCAGAACCGATCTGCAATCCAAGTTCCATTTCCGAACCAGAATGAGTTTGAAGTCAAGCCTCAAATTATCTCATTGGTGAAATCTGCAGCATGATGAGAACAAACCAAGTTCCAGCAGACTATTTAAAGTGTAATTTGTTCCCTTTTTCATTAGCAGAAAAAGCTCACTGTTGGTTGAAATCTTTGCCTGCAGGATCGATTACTATTTGGGAAGAGTGTAAAACTGCTTTCCTGAATCACTTCTATACTAAGTCAAAGTCGACCTTGGAACAAAGATCTCAAGCTTTCAGCAAGGACCGACTGAAGCTTTCTATGAAGCCTGGG